GCAGGCGACCCGAGACGCCCCGCCCTCCGCTGAGCCGGAAGAGCAGCAGAGATGGGGACGGAGGAGGGCGTCGCGGAGGGCCTCGTCCCACACGTGCAGGCCGGTCACGTGTCCATGGGTGACCTGCCGGGGGTTGAAGCCTCCTCCGGGCCGGTCCTGCTCCAGGCCCAGCGCCGCTATGCCGCCGCCCTCGACCTCGCAGCCGGGACACTGGGGGGATGGGCGTGGTTGAGCTTATTTAGGGAATTGTAATAATGTGTAATAATAAAAAACATCTTAGAGAGGAGAGTAAGAAAGATGGGAAGAGAGACAGATACAGATATAGAGATAAATAAGTAGACAGATAGACATATATATATTAGATAAATAAATAGAAAGAGAGTACATATATACATATATGTACACACACACACACACACACACACACACACACACACACACACACACATACATACACATATATATATATATATATATATATATATATATATATATATATATATATGTGTGTGTGTGTGTGTGTGTGTGTGTGTGTGTGTATATATGTATATATGTACACACACACACACAACACCACACACACACACACACACACATATATATGCGTGTGTGTGTTTGTAGTGAGTGCGAGAGAGAGAGAGAGATTCAGCCAAGACCTGCCTTTTTAGATCCCTTTTTGATCATCTTCCCATTGAGGTAGATGGCGTACTGGCCTTCTCCGGAGAGCCACGAGGCGCACATGCTATACCACGTGCGCACGCGTATGTCTGCGTTCGCCTTCATCCGGACATTGTTTACGTAGAAGCCGAGGCCGGGCTTGTTCCCCGGGCTGACGAACACCAGAATGGCGTTGTCCTGGCCTTGCACGGCGTAGGAAAAGAGGAAGTGGGACCGGGCCAGCGTCGCCAGCTGGAACCTGAAAAATGGGGAATGAAATTGGGTCATTGCGAGCTGTTTTACCACAATTTCAAGGACGTGATATTACGTATCTCAAATGTTCTATTCATTCAGCTGTACATACATTTCATCATTTTACAGCCACAGTGCTGTTTCGTTTTACCGGCTTATTTTCAAATGACTTACCTGAAGCTTCGAAGAAGTTACACACATACTTTCTTAAATATAATCGACAAAAAAGCTAGATAAAAAAGAGTCCATAAAACTAAACAAGGTGCCAAGAGGCTCCAGTGCCAAATCCTACCTCATGCACACGGTGAACTGGTCGAGCGCTGGCACGGACGCCAGGAACACCCCGTACTGTAGGCCTGCTTGGGGCGTCAGGCTCAAGGAGTAGCGTCCTCTCGAGATGCCCTCGGGAGGAACGCAGCCCTGGGGAACCGCCTTGGCTGGAGACAGAAAGCGGTGGAGTGCGGCGGCAGGAGGCAACACCGAGGAGTTGGACGCTGAAGGGGGAAGGGAAGGCGTTGGGGAAAGGAGGAAAAGGAACAGAGAGAGAACGTGCGGTGGCATGTCCAGAGGGTTGGGCGCGGGGGTGGTCGTTGGATCGGCTGCCGACAGGGGTCCCTCAGGAGTCGTAGGGGAGGAAGACCGTGGTAGAGTGGGTAGAAAGGTTTGGGCTACGGTAAAGGGGGTGGTTCGTGACGTCAGAGGCGAAGGGTGGGCCGTGACGTCAGAGGCGAAGGGGTGGGCCGTGACGACAGAGGCGAGGGTGGGCGGGAGTGGGGAAGAGGAGGGGGGGAAAAGAAATCGGGTACAGGCTCCGGAGGGAATGGAGATGAAGCAACAGGTGAAGGCGTTGCAGGCAAGACAGGTCGCCAAGAAGGATCCATCTTCTTAAAAACAGGGGGAGAAGGATCAAGCTGGTTAATGCTAGGTTTAGAAGGATCGAACTGCTTATTGGCAGGTTTAGGAGAATCAAGCTGCTTAATAAGAGGTTGAGAAGGATAGACTTGGTTAATGACAGGTTGAGATCGAAAAGCTTTAGCAGTTTAGAAGAATCGAGCTGCTTGATACGAGTTCGAGAAGGATTGAGTTGGTTAACGACGGGTTGAGAAGGATCGAACTTCTTATTGACAGGTTTAGTAGAATCGAGCTGCTTAATGAGAGGTCGAGAGGGATCGAGTTGGCTAATGACACTCTGAGAAGGTTCGAACTGCTTAGAATGCGACAGGGTAGTCACAGACCATTGGATGTCTCGCTGTGCAGAAGAGTGCGTCTGGTTTGCGGAATTTTTGGCGGGTTTATTTGATGACTGAAGAGAAAGAGGATCACTTGTATATGAAGCTTTTTGAGCAGACTGTGAAGAATTCCCAAGAGCGTTAGAAGAAGGAGTTACACCCCTAACAACGTCCTGGCGATAGTTAATTGAAGAAGAAGAATCTGTTATTGCCGATAATGAGGGGATAGAGGTGTGAGCCAACGGTCGTAACTGTGAGAAGGTTGAGGTAGTCGTTGAGGCCGTGGACGCTTTGCTCATCCCTGGTAGGAGCGTTGATTCTCTTTCAGATCCTGAGATGGAGTTGGGAGGACCCGAAAGAAG